ATTCAGCTGGACACACTTTCCTTATTTTCTCCGCAACAAATGGCCAAGCAAGCGCAGACCAACGAGACCAAACGCGATGTATGTGTATGTGTGTATATGTATGTATGTGTGTGTGTGTATGTGTGTGTGTGTGTGTGTATGTGTATATGTGTGTGTATATGGGTGTGTGTGTATATGGGTGTATGTATGTGTGTGTGTGTATATGTGTGTGTATGTATATGTGTGTGTATGTATATATGTGTGTGTATGTATATGTGTGTGTATGTATATGTGTGTGTATATATTTATCAGTCTGGCTATGTGTGTGTGCCTGGCGAGTAAACAAAAACATGTACTAGCCAATGGCGATTCAATTACCAAGGTGTTCGTAGAGGGCTGTCACGCAAAGAAAGAAGGCGTAACTTCTATTCTCGCTGTAGTATTGTTGTTGCCGCCGTCGCCATGTCGTGAAGACGCTGTGTGTTTCGTTGTGAAAGCAAAACTACTTTGTTTGGCCTTCCAAAAGAGGACGATATCCGCTTCGTCATTCATGGAGCTGATCCGTGCTGGTCGCTGAGGAAATACATCAACCACGGCATCAACAGTATGTGAGGGGCGTAACATTTCCGTCTCACGCTTGAGGTATTCGGCCAATCACAACGCTCTGGATAGCTGGCCAATCAGAGCACCCCTCGCTTTTTCAGACCGATGAGCTTTGTAAAAATCGACGCGTTTCAGAAAGTCGGGGCATAGAGGAGAAACAATAATGTACAGTATGTGGAAAATAATGTATTTTTTGAACCTTAAACCGCATAAACACATTTCATTACACCAAATACACAAAATAATGTTCTTTTTAGCAACAACATATGACCCCTTTAAGCAAGATATACTGTATAATAAAAGCAAAATATATAGTGCAAATTGAATTGGGATCAGTAACATTTTTTTGAAAGAAATTACTTCTATTCAGCAAGGATGTATTGACTTAAAGTGACAGTCACATTGTTACAAAAGATTTCCATTTCAAATAAAACTGTTTTCAACATATAATAATAATAATAAGAAATGTTTCTTGAGAACCAAATCAGCATATTAAAATGATTTCTGAAGGATCACGTGACACTGAAGACTGAACTCGTGGCTTTATTTATTTTTTATTGCAAATTAAATTTGACTTTTTTTTTTATTTTTTTTTTTTATCCAGTTAAGCATTTTCTGCAGCTAGGAAGGTAGGAAACATTTTCACAGCAAGATTTCTAAAAAGGATTAGTTTGAAATTGCTTTAATTTGGACTCATTTCATTCCGTTTGATTTCAGCTGAAATATTCACAAAAGACCTGTGTGATTATGGGTTCAAGCCCCTCTGATCCTGTCAAAGCTGAACCGCTTTAAACATTAGAAACAATGACAACGAACTTTGGACAGAAGACACCAGCTGCCCATTTTCTCTTCTAAACCTTATGTAGTTATGAAACTATAACTTCCTCTCTTCATATCTCTGACTGCTCATAGTTTATTTTCAGCAAAAACACCTTTAGCAAAAGGTTAAAGTCATAAATTGAAGGTTTCCTAACATGAGTTGCTGGCAAGTCAGCTGAAATGTCATCTGTTTGGCAATTCCCGTATGGAGAAACATGGGTCAAAAGAGTGCAAAAGATAAAGTCCACTGCCCGTCTCTTCTGTCCATCCCACATGGTTTGTTTTGGTGAAAACACTTTCTCTTCCATGGGCTAAACTCTTTGAATGAGTATCAGAGCATGACACAGGCATGTCAGCTGAGTCAGGAGTGTGTGTTTAAGCTTTAACACATGATTCTCTTTTAGAAGGAACTTGAAAAGAGAAAGCACTTGGGAGAAAGCTTTGAACTGAACTCAAAAGCTGTACAAATAAGAAATCGGAAATCCTGTGGCAGATTTTTGCTTTACTAAGGTTGTAGAGGGGCTGATAAATTCACAGACAGAGCTGTCAAATCTGTGTAGGCTACACAACAGATAAAGCAAATCTGAATAATTACAGTGTGCATTGATTTAGTATGTTCAGTAGCAGTAATAAAGAGGGACACAAACATTGACTGTAGACATCACAGGCCTTTTGAGGGAAACTGTGTATAAATGATTGGATCCGTCCTGTGTGTTTGCAGGAGCAGCCCAAGATCATCGAGCCGCTGGACTATGAGAATGTGGTGTTCCAGAGGAAAGCTCAGATCCACAGTGATCCACAGAGAGACCTGCTGCTGTGGCCAGCTGATGATGTATCAGTGAGTCATTTCACAAGCACATTTCCTGCCGTTTATTTGTTTGACTCATTTTCAAAGTCCTCATCCTTTTGCTGCCACCATATGAATCTGATTTTCATCTGTCTGTCTATTATTATCTATCATTTTTCATTCTATCTATCTATCTATCTGTCTGTCTGTCTGTCTGTCTGTCTGTCTGTTGTTTGTTCATTCGCTCTTTCTTTCATTCACTCTTTTTGTCATCCTATCTATCTATCTATCTATCTATCTATCTGTCTGTCTGTCTGTATCTATGTCTGTCTGTTGTTTGTTCATTTGCTCTTTCTTTCGTTCACTATTTTTGTCATCCTATCTATCTATCTATCTATCTATCTATCTGTCTGTCTGTCTGTCTCATATCCTGTCTGTCTTTGTTTATCGTTCGTTCGCTCGCTCTTTCTTTCGTTCACTATTTTTGTCATCCTATCTATCTATCTATCTATCTATCTGTTTGTCTATCTAGGAAGCACAGATTGAACGTCAAAGGAGGACCATTGTTCCTTCAGTTCCTCAAAATGCTGAGAACGAAGCAAAAAGCCTGTTTGCCAAAGAGGTAAAGAACCTCTCAATGCCAAAATTTGAGTGAAGACTACAGCTTTCCAGACTAATAAAATATGAGATCACATTTTCCTGTTTTTCATTTTTTTCTGCTCATGCGATTGAGTAACTGAGCAATGCTTACGCTCTTTGGCAGTGCATTAAGATGTACAGCACCAACTGGCACGTCATCAACTATAATTACGAGGCTTACTCTGGAGATTTCCGGACGCTGCCCTGGTATGTCAAAGTTTGCATTTTTTGCCAAAGCTTTTGCAGGGCTATTTCCAAAGTTTGGTGTCAGCTACTTTTTCTGTCTTGCAGTAAAGGGATGAAGACGGAAAAGCTTCCCAACCAAGTGTTTGAGGTGGATGAGGGGGAGGAGGTAAGAGACATTAATGTTAGCCGATGGAAAACAGAGTATAGAATATCACACTGTCTCAATATCTTCTCTCATCTCTCTCTTGTTTAAACTGTTCTGTGTAATTGTGTATTACCCTGTTTGCCGTGTCAAAACAAACTGAACAACACGTCATCAACTATAATTACGAGGCCTACTCTGGAGATTTCCGGACGCTGCCCTGGTATGTCAAAGTGTGCATTTTTTGCCAAAGCTTTTGCAGGGCTATTTCCAAAGTTTGGTGTAAGCTACTTTTTCTGTCTTGCAGTAAAGGGATGAAGACGGAAAAGCTTCCCAACCAAGTGTTTGAGGTGGATGAGGGGGAGGAGGTAAGAGACATTAATGTTAGCCGATGGAAAACAGAGTATAGAATATCACACTGTCTCAATATCTTCTCTCATCTCTCTCTTGTTTAAACTGTTCTGTGTAATTGTGTATTACCCTGTTTGCCGTGTCAAAACAAACTGAACAAAAAAGCATTTTTTCCATTTTAAAAGGGAAAATATGGTAACCATTTTATCACAGATAAAACACTGGAGTCTTGAGTCTTTATATAAATGGTTAAAAATTTGGTTAGCAAAGAGCAGTTTTAAAATTCACATTCAACATACACACTGTGTGTAATTTATGTTGTAGCACAAAAACAGAATGTTAACCACAGACTAAATCAAAAGCCACTGTTCTAAAAACTCATTAGAAATTTCCGAGGGAACCTGTGGTGAAGCCTTCTCGGTTGGCCTGCAAATTCCCGCCATGACTGAACAGTACTATGGGTGTCTGATGACTTGGACAGAATTTAGATTTGTGTGAAATTATTTGGAGTTAAAAAGTCACACATTTATTGTGTTTTCATGATAATTTATTGCTTTTACGCCCAGATACTCAAGTACTCAGGTTCTCAAGAGTGTTAATGCCAACTTTCACATTCACATCCACCAGTTGTCTTAAGTGTCAACACATCTTGTTGAATTGTGCTACACCTTCTATTGACATTGTAGATATTGTTCTTCTTCCCAGACAGCACTGTAAATTTTGTGAGGCTTCTGTGAGGTCATAATCAGATGTAGAAATGAAGGCCATACGGTCCATTACATGGAACCTGACCCTCATGGTCTATTAATAGACACACACTGAAGTGTCCAGCAGATCTTGATAAAATTAGATGTAAGGAGTGGTGATTACAGGGCAAAGAGATTGCTTCTCCACCCTGTGTGTGTGTGTGTGTGTGTGTGTGTGTGCATGTCTAAATCTGTGTGTATGCACATGTTTAGACATGGATAGTCTAGCCTTTTTCCTTACAGTTCACTTAGTGGAATTAAATGAAATGAGTTCTAATTCTGAAGACCTAAAAGAACATTTCTGGCCTAAAGAATGAGGCTAGTGAAGCCAAAACGTACACAATAATAAGGAAATTATATGAGAATGAATTCAGTATCTTGTTCAGTTGTAAAATTCAGATATACTCACCTGTATGTCTTTCCAAACCTCTATGCATTATTTTCTTCTATGGAACACAAAATATATTTTATATAACACCCAATTTTTAGCTATCAAAAATGGATTTTACATTCCATACCTTTGCTGTAAATTTACATGACTTCCTCCTTTGATCAATAATGAAATGATATCACTGTCATAGTACCTCATATTATACATAACTGAGAAGAGAATGGGGCCAGTTGTTATTATTATTATTATTAGAAATTAATTAACTTTTAAATTAATTAACAATAAAAAAAACTTTTATTACAAAGGATTTCTATTTCAAATAAATGCAGTTTTTTGTTTTACTTTATATTCATCAAAGAATCCTGAAAAACATTTTTTTCCCCTGAACTGTTTCCACAAAAATATTAAGCAGCACAACTGTTTTCTACATTTAAAATCATAAGAAATATTCCTTGAGCCCCAAATAATCATATTAGAATGATTTCTGAAGGATTCTGTGACACTGAAGACTGGAGTAATGATGCTGAAAATTCAGCTTTGCATTACATGAATAAATTACATTAAAAAATACATTAAAATAATAATAAATAAAACTTTTGTAAAGATATTTCATAATACATTTTACTGTATATACTTTACCGTAATATATGCAGCATTGGTGAATGTAAGAGCATTTTTTTAAACATTAAAAAATATCTTACTGACCCCAAACTTCTGAACTTTTCAGTAGTGTATGTGTACAGTATATCATGTTGGCTCTGTCACATTCATTTAATTTAATCAATTAGCTGAGTGACTCAAAAGGGAGAAGAGGGTGCAGGCAATTGATCAGTCTCAGAGGGGCTGTTAGGAACAGAAAGAGAGGGAGGGAATGGGAAATGCTGGAGGAAAGAGAGGAGAAGGGCATTTGGACAATTATATTACAGTGGAGAGCTAGAGAAAAGCACATCCATAAAGGACGCCAGGCCACTTCAATTAAATTAGACACACACACACACACACACACACATATTTATAGTCGCTGTAAGTAATAAATCCCACCCCATTCTACCGTTTATTAATATTACTGTTATAAGTATTGTATTTGTTTTCAAACAAGATGTTTGTAAGTACTTAATTGTTGTATTGTGTTAATGTGTGTGTGATGTTAAGTTACTGTACGAGTGCTTATTTGCATGAATGTTTGTAAAATCAGAACACACAGTGTTCATGTTTGTGTCAGAGCAGCCTCCTTTAAGGCAGAGAGGTTGCATGCATAGAAATGCATTGATGTGAGTCTTTGTATTCAGATCAGTCTGTCTGTTCATTAGTTCTTACTTTGTGTGTGTTTCAGGATTCATCATCTCTTTGCTCTCAGAGAGGAGGTGTAATGAAGCAGGGCTGGCTGCAGAAGGCCAACATCAACAGCAGTCTATCTGTCTCCATGAAGGTTAGTGGAATCATCGGTGCACTTTTATTAAAAGACATCAGCAGATCTACAGCAGTCGTTGTTCCTCAATATACTGTACATCTGCTGATCAATGCAGTTTGAAGACCCATTGTTGGAGAGGCCTGTAAGGTCTTTTGTTTTTTGGTAAATCAGAAATGTCAATTACATGCACTAATGTTCATACACAAAAACACGTTGTTAACAAAGTGCAGCACTCTGCACTAAATTATGTCTCGCAAGTACTTTGTGTGAAGGATATATGGTAAATTATACGACTTATTATATGATAAAATAGTCACTGATAGCGCCGCAAATGGCAGCCACAACGCTGAGCTCCGCAATTCTTCTGTTGTTTTTGAATCCAAAATTTGTACACTTGTAAACTGCACACTTTGTAAATAACATATCTGCACACTTATAACATATCTACATTTATCTAAACAATTACTTTTTTTCCCCTATACTTCTATTTTTGTATATAGTAGGGGTGGGGGAAAAATCGATACAGCATAGTATCGCGATATTTTCCGCGGCAATACTGTATTGATACACGGATGCCAAGTATCGATATTTTATTATACTATTTGGTAGAATAATAAAATTAATTTCTTTACAATCCACTAGATGGTGGTGTTGAGTTTTTTTCTGGTGAGGTCAGCTGGGTCACCTTCAGCATGCAGTAAGTTAGTAAAATAAAGAGGGCGGCATAGCGGAAAGTTATCAGGAAAGCCCCGTCCGCGTTTAAATCGGATATATGGACTTACTTCGGATTTGTAAACAAGGAGGGGATGTAAGTAGGAAAATATAGGCTACATATAATAATAATAATAATAATAATATATATGGCGCGCCGCGTCGCGCCCGGCAGTGTTCAGCGCACTGGTGTAGGCTAGTTCAGCTGTACTGGGCAGCGCTGGTAAAATGATGTTACCTTCAGTGACGCTATGCTCTGCTCTGCTATGCTGTGCTCATATGCTCTGATAATAATAGCTTTGTAGGACCATACATTATTTGGATAATTAGTCAAAAAACAAACAAACAACAACT